ACACACACACACACACACACACACACACACACACACACACACACATCTGCTTAATTAAAATGAAGTTGTCTCGTGACAGACAGTGAGAGAGCAATCTTAACTTGATATGAAGATAATTGGAATAATCGTACCAATCAAATTATCCTCAAGTCCCCTGAAACACACGCGGGCACGCTTGGTCTTCACACGTACCAATGAATGTGAGAGCACGCCCCAAAACTCTCTCATGGGACAAAACCTTAACATTTAATGTCCGTTTCTTGACTTTCTTTCTTTCTTGCTTTAATATGAGGTCACAGTGCCATGCAACGAAGTGAAAAGGTTCTCGCTCCTCTTTTTGGGTGAGAAAGAACCAAAGCTTTCCTTTTGGCCCCTTATTCCACAGGATGAATTATAGACGGGGGTCAGCGAGGGTCCTGGTTCTCGGCGGATGACGCACGCCCTGGCCCCCTGCATACTAAACGACACACTCACACACGCGTGCACGCATGCACACACGCGCACTGACCGCACAACGCAAATGACCCTGAATCTGGCAAAATCAGATCCGACCTCCACATTAACAGTTTTCTAGCTGCAATGCAGCGAATGGCTGATCTGAAGAATGGACCTCAGTCTTGTGCCTATCATCACTTTCTGCCACAAATGTTCATTCATGTGTGTTCTTATGTAATATTTCCTCGATTTCTGACTGGATTGAGATTCAGCAATGATGTGGGAAGTGCTTTGGTTAGAAGAAATGACCTGCCTTATGCTCCCAGAGTGCAGAATACCTGTTACCTGTAACAGGCATTTTATTCAGTGCAGTGCAATGCAAGTGGGACTAATGATTAACCATTGTCAAACAATGTTGACGTACCTGTTTTTAAAATCCAGACAGAAATAATGAATCTTGAGTTTAGTCTGCATCCTTGCACTTCCATCTGGATTTGGCTTCCTTCTTGACACTGAAAAGTATGTGTATGACATTAAGCCACGGGCAAAATTTCTCTATCAAGCATCATGTTTATTTTCTTACTCATAAGAAATTTCAAATGATAAGACGGTTGGACATCCAAAGCAAATTACAGAGCGCAGATCTGAACAAGTACAGCAGATGGGAATGTAGATATCCAATAATGCAGGGCTCCATAAAAGGCAATATAAATAATTCAAGAGAGGGTTACATGCATTAACAATATTAATCACTTTCTGTATAGCAATAGTAAGTGAGCCTTCAGCACACAAGATGCACTCAGCATAAATGGCTACGGTATGTTAAAGCAATTATACCATAGCTTGCAGTTACGAAGAGTAGTTTAAAGGGTATGTACACAGGTTAAGGGTATGTACACTTATAATATCGTCATTATCACTGACATATAAAATATGTTCTTGCTTTACATGATGGTTCATTCAGATCGTTTGAATCTTGATCCCCATCGCTCTAATTTTTATATGTATTCACATATTTGTTTTATTCTGTAAACTGCTGACCAATAAAACTGGACACCATGCTCGATGCATAGTTTACTCAGTCATCGTAGAATAAACAAGAGATTCAAAAAATAGGTTAACATCCTATTATACATTGAACCCGAATGATATTCTGTTTCAACTTATTAACGTTGTTCCGGTGGAAGTATGCAGTACCGGTACATGACAGTAGTTAATCGTTGGGGGTACCTTGTGGACTTAACATGTAAGAACCGTAATCTTATTTTTTCTGTTGATGTATTGTCAAATTATAGACGGCGTGGGACTTGATTAAACTGTATTGTGTTGCATTGGCATTCTGCCACCTTATTGGTGACAACTGTTTTTGACAGTTATGCGATTTAAGGGTGTAAAGGGCTGTTAATTACATGGACGTGTTGGCATGTCACAAATAGGAATCCCACTTCCAGGATGACCAGGCTGTGATGGATGCTGATGTGGGCAACATTTAACACATAATATGATTCGATACAATGTTAGTTGAAATAGTGTAGACGTCCATTACATCAGATAAAGCTCTGCAGGAAGATGCCTTGGAGGAAATGCGTCCTGGCCCAGATGGTCAATGCAGAAATCTCCATAGGAGCGCCTCTGGGGAGAGAGGCACCCTCCAATCTTCGACTCGTCCGCTACTGTAGAATTCAGACAGCGACTTTTGCCTTCTAACTAACTTCTCTCTATGATTTTGCGACAGGGATGTGAAAACATTAAATCAGAAATTGATGATGCAAATGTGGATCTGATTGGCGCTTAGACAGACTGACAGAACTATTAATCCTGTAATGGAATTGATACAATTACAAAGGACTGGAATTAGACATTGCATCAATTAGAGCAGAGGCTGCTATTTGTGGAAATAAGGTAATGCTTCTTTGACTGTGTCAGTCACAAGTGATCGTTGTTATTTTTGTGAAGGTTGAATTTTGGATCGAGATCTTATCAGATTTTATGTAGATTTTTAGTATGTCTAATCAGATTTTTAACAAATAATGCGCCACTGCAGCAGCAGCATCCGAGCCATCATCACTTCCTTGCAGACGTTGGGTTTGATGCACCGGAGTATATTTTTAACATTACATTGCATTTTAACTTTACATACACAGTGATAAAAGCACACACCCATTGCTTTATCGCCGTGTATTTTAGAGCAAAACGTCTCGAGGAATTCAACCCCCGCAACTGCGGCGGCACGTTTGAATTTACGGGTGTGTTTATGCTTATAGGGAGATTGCACCCCGGCACTCAGCTGCCTGGGGAGCTCAGCGCTCTTGATTATGACTCGGGGCCGGGAACAGTAAATAATGTAAAGCATGTTTTCCCCCCTGAGGAAGACTTGTAGAAGTGTTCAAAATGTTGTTCCTTCTCAGTCGCTCACATAAACATCCCAGCAGATTTCCAAACAGGCATTTATGACTCTCTGCTGATGTACTGCTCTCCAGATGAGCACGTCAACCCAACTAAAACTGAGACATATTATTCTTTTAGATCCTTGTCTTGAAACGGTTGGAGTAAAACCATCACTCTCTTTTATTAATTAATCGGTATTGTTTGAGGTTTCTTCTTAAGAGCAGTCATATGATAGGAAAGCGTTTCCAAAATGTGCAGGGATTTGAACGCTGTCCAAAATGTTTGAATAGTTCAGCGTGTCTTGGTTTTGATCAGATGCTCCTCCTCCCTCTTTGCTCATATGAAGGTTTTTAGTAATGAATTGTGCAGTCGTCTCAATGAGGAGTGAGTTGTTGAAGCCAAGGTTTCATTAACATTTTAGCGTCCCTGTCTTCGGAGCTTTAAGAGAAGTTAATCTGCTGTCTAATAAAATAAAAGAAAGAACTCCTGAGGCGCATAATGGAGAGTAATGAACCTTGATGGCAAGCTTCTCATGTTCATCATTGTGATTTCAGCAAGATGCCATTTTATATAAGCATTGATTTTGGTCAAACTAATTTGTGTATTCAATTGATTGTTTAATTGCACTGTTGTGGTTGAATTTGTTTTTTTTTTTTTTTGGTTGCCAACCACAATGTGATGAATAGTTGGAATTTTTTATTCAACATCAGGAATTAGAATTGTGATTAGTTGAAACGACAGATAGATGTAATGTATCTCTAATTCAATTTTGTCGGTCAAAAACTCTGCAACGTCATCTCACCGTGGACAAATGATGTCACTTTTGCCATTCATGTGTATGAGGCTTCTCATTATAGATGTCACCTATTCAGCTGCCAATATCTGCTAATGAATTATGGGTGTCTGTAGCTGAATTATTTATCTATTACGCCAGTTTGAGATATCTGCAACACCATTTTGACTACCATTTGTCATAATTGTTCAGTTAATCCCTAATCCTCTTTTACATGGATTCCCCGTCACGATTTGCCTGCCTCACATGCCCACTCGCAAAGCTTTTCTCAATAAACGTGTGATTGGCTGGGTCGTGCCACGTGGTGAGTGCAAATGTTTACTTACATAAATATGAACCATTTATCAAAATGATTGAAAATGCAGAGTGGAGCCTCTCGAGAAGGACTGCTCGTATAGAGTGGGCCTATATCAAAGGTGACTTGATATTACAATTGCTGTACTTTGGCGCTTTATGAGTATGATTGTATTCCACCAAAAATAGTCAATATATGGTGCCGTTGAGTGAGCAATTATAATTTGCATGCCAAAGACATTTCTTGTGTTGTGTGTTTTGTTGTCATATCTCGGCAGACCGCGTGAACGTGAGAGAACAAAGAGTAAAAAGAGTGAAAATAATTGCTCCCAATGCATCACGTTTAGCTGTGTGCTTTTATACAGAAGCAGTGAGGCAAGAGCACTTGAGTATGACTCCAATGATGCTTTGCTCTGCCCAGAAGAAGAAAAATCCTCGCGAAAGAGGTAGCCCCGCAGCTGCTAATCAGTCCATGCGGTTGATAGAATGAAGCGGAAGAAAAAGCATGCCCCTTTATCGATACGTTACGACTCGGCCTCGTCATGATCGCAAGTTCACTTTGCAGCTCTGCTTCAGCATTCTGCTAGGCACAGTGCCAGGGGACACGTAGAAGTACAAGCGTAAGGAGACAGTGGAGGGAGTGGGTATGGGATATGGAAGACTTCTTGGGAGGAAGTATTCTGAAACAAGAGCACAGTCCGCCTCCAAGGTTAAAACATTTTACACCTACAAAAGAAATACAAAAAAAAATAAATGAAAACACCAACAGGCGAACTGAAACAGGAACAAAAAGTGATACAATTCTACACAAGGACAGCAAATTATAACTGACGTGTTTCATGTTTTTTTTTTTTTTTTTTTTAAATCACATCATAGGTTTTCACTTGGGCTGTAACAGACTATTAGAGTGGAACCTGAAACATTCATATATCTAGTATGATTCAGAAATCGCCCATGTTTTTTCTGTTGTGTGTAATAATAGTGTTTAATAATATCAGA